ACAATTTAAGTTTATTTTTATTAGCTAGTAAACTAGTAAAACTACTCATTCTGAACAATTATAGATTTAAGCAGTGTATTAGTAGTTTGTATGCGACACTCTAAGAAAAGTCTTTTGGAAGAAAAAGTTGCTAGGGTAGTCTGAAAAGTTGCTAAATCTAGCAACAAAATTGCTATGTTGGCAACACTGGTTGTGGGTGAGAACAAGGCCACTTCTATTGAGATCTGTAATGCAGAAGTCTAATGAGGAAGTGAACCGGACCACTGAGTTTACACTTATGAAAAGATCCTCTTTACTATCATTAATCTGGAAAAGCCCCAAAATAACTTTTTTTTTTTTTTTAATGTTAAAAATAACAGTTAAGTGAAGTGGTTTACAAAACCTTACTGTAATTAAAGAGGTTTTCATTCCCATCTTTCAAGCTTAAATTGTTTGAAAAAATCACCAAACCTACACACACAGCAAAAAAACAGGGTGTCACAAACAAAACCCTAGACGTAATATCTAATTGTGGCCATTATCATACCCACAAGCATATTTTTGAACATGCTAGTTTCACAGGCTACAGATTAAGACCATGCGTTATTTATGTGCATATGTGGGTTATCATGGCTTCCATCTCTTCATAAATCTATGTGGTTTCCATTAGTACTGTTTGAACATTACAGACTACACACACAGCGAGAAAGTACTCAAAAGGCAGCTGAAAGCATATTGTTACAGACTAACTTTTGTGCTGGACTAAATTATTACTGATAAGTTTTACATTGGAAATCCAAGTAAACACACATTTACTTAGTTAGCTTAGTTTACTTATCTAAATGGTGAGAAATTACTTCTGTTTTGTTTACATAAAGGTTTTTAATTATTAATAGACTACACTTCCATTAAAAAGTTAAGGTTAGTGAGATGTTTATTTTTGAATGCATTTGTACAGTAATATAGTAAAATACTATTACAATTTAAAATGTGTTTTCTATTTTAATGTAATTTAAAATGTAATTTGTTCCTGTGATGCAAAGCTGAATTTTAGCAGCCATTACTCCAGTCTTCAGTGTCACATGATCCTTCAGAAATCATACTAATATGATTTGCTGCTCAAGAAACATTTCTGATCAAAGTTGAAAACAGCTGTGCTGCTTAATATTTTTTGTTGAAACCATGATATATTCTTTTCTTGATTCTGTGATGAATAGAAAGAACAGCATTTATTAAAATAGAAATCTTGTGTAGCATCACGTCTTTACTGTCACTTTTGATTAATGTGTCCTTGCTGAACGATTTAAAAAAAAAAAAAATCTTACTGACCCCACACTTCCTAACACACACTGACTCACATTTTTAGTGATATGAAAGATTGTAAGAAAAAATCTACTTTATAATAGTTTTTCACAAATTAGGACATACCCAAATGTCCCCAAACTGAGGTTGTGCCACATTTTGCACAATTCTGGTGGGACAATTATATGTAGTAGACGTAAATAAAACAGCTCCACTAATAGTTCAGGTGTAACAGTATGGTATTTACTTCCTTTGGTGTTAGCCAAAAAAAGAAAATAATTTTTTTTTTACAAATGCCTCTGCTAATTAATATGCTGACAAAACTATTCATAATTCTAATAACTCATTAAAAATGCATTTCTAATAAATAGCAATACAGTGCAGCCCTCAATTCACACTTCACTGATTTTAAAAGGAAAATAAAAGCATGTCAACGAGATAAACTTGAACAGAGGCACAGAAATAAAACCCAGAAAACATGACATGTGACAGAAACAAATAAAAGTTGCTTAGTTTGCAGATGAAGTCTGAAATGGAAGTGAAAGCCACACCTGCTACTGCTGAGTGATGTCATTTCATCATCTTAATCTTAAAAAAAAAAAAAACTCATCATGAGATCATTTTGTTTTCCATACGTAGCACATCTTATAGAAAGAAAACTTGATGAGGACAGTGTAAAATAAAAAAAAGGACAAAAGGACACTACTGGAATATTCGCATCAGAGCTGCACAACATGTAAGTCTGCTTGGATTAAAACATGACAACATTTCCAAGGACTCCACCACACGACATTCTTGGAATGTCTCAGAATATGACTCAACAGAATATAAATTCCAAGCACGCGCGCGCACACACACAAAATCTGTTTCAAAGATGCTTCACTCAATCATCACTCAAAACCTCTGCTACATCAAACTGAGTGAGGCACTTGGAAAGAGGGGATTCAAACTAATCGGCTATAGTGACTAAAATCAACCCTGCTGCAGATCTAAAACGCGACGATCAGCGACACATCTTTCCTACAACATCATTTCCAATTCAAGCAGGAGAATTTATAAAAGCATATCCTAAAATTGTGATTCAAAGCATATCTGCACAATACGTGTGTACTTAACAGTTAATGTGCTTATACGGTACAGTAACGTTATAGATTACAGTCATTTGGACTCATACAAAAAGGTTAAAAAGAAACAGTCTGAAGACTGGAAAGTAACAAAGGGACAGAGAGAATGAGCAAAGAAAGTTTGAGGAATGAACGGTCGTCCCTTTTTGCCTTCTCCCTCACTCAAATCCCAGCGTTCTCACTCC